TTTGGTAATATTTAACCATGGTTGACTGTATTCCTCTTGTTCTGGCCACTGCAATTATATATACATCTTATAAAATTTTTATTTATTTCACCAAGACAATGATACATTACTGGTTAATACTGTGATATCAAGATAAAATACCTTCATACCTACCAGTATAATTCTGATTAGCTTTTACACAATCACTGTATAATATGCAATATGAATTCTAGTATCAAAATATTTCACTCACAAACCACCATTTTATAGACGACATTTCAGCTAATACGTACATTTAACTATATTCCAGAATTGAATGCTTATAAAAGAGAATTTTTTTCCTGATTCCTGATAGGATATTTTCAATGAAAGCATGCAATGACATTTCCTTGTTGTTTCTGAATACAGAGTTTAACTTCTTGTGCAAATATCCAGGATAATTCACCTGGTTAACATATCAATCAAAACAGTAGTAAAACTCTGTCATATTCTAGGTGCAAGGTGGCTATCCTATCTAAGAATTCAGGCCCGTAGGAAGCAATTTCAGTTGGGGGGGGGGGGCACACTTATACATTTTCAGTTAAGGGAGCACTATCAACTACCAAAAAAAATTTCTTGACAAGCAAATTTAAAAAAAAAAAAAAAAAAAAAAAAAAAAAAAAAAAAGGCATCAGAAGTTTTTATTTACGGCCATGGAATTTCACCAAAACAAAGTTGAATTCAAAAAACTATTCAGTGATAACTGTTGGCTGAAATAAATTGCAATGTTTAAATGAAGTAAATGACAGTATTAAGAAACAGTGTTTTATATATATTTCATCATTCAAATAATTTATCAAAGATTTCATCAAGGTCATAATATTACACAATGTTAAAATCTAAATTCCAGCTTGCTTCAAAACATTGTTGAATGTTATTATCTTCACTCAGAAAATACAGGTATCATTAGTGGTTGATTATATGAGCATTTTTCACTTAAAAAAAAAAAAAAAAAAAAAAAAAAAATTGAATAATAGTATTGCCCCTCATTAGTTTTCGTTCGTGGTTAAGTTGGCTAACTGTGGATTTGGCTGCTGCACACTAATTCCCTTTGTAAGCCCTTTAGATTTTCATATGCTTAACTTGCTTACTATTTTCCTCCTCATTCAAGTTGTCGCTAGATGCAAAGGACTGACATGTGACTAGAGGCAAAGATCAGTGACAGGCCTCAAAATCAAAACATTGGGACATATTGTTCGAGCTATACAAAATGTTTTTAACTGAAAACGAATTATCATCGGAAAGTGTCAGTTATTCGATGAGCATCTGCTTTGTAATCAAAGAAATTCTGCACACTCGGTCTCCAATGAAATATTTGACTGACTTATACACTTTGAAGTCATTATTGTTCAGCTCGTTATCACACACATCGTCAGCATCACTGTTGTTTTCATCTTAAACACTGGATGACTGGTCCTTGCATGAAGATTCATTCAGCTGTCCTGACCCGTTTTACAAAAGAACTTACGACTAAGACCAAAATTTAATTCTGCTAATAACTTTCTAATTTACATTAAATAGAAAATGGTTTTAATTTATTAAACAAGTATGTAGAAAGATTCTTTTACGCTAGAAATTATAAACAGAATCATTAATTTTGCAGAATTTTACAATCAACCTAAGTTTTTGGTCTTAGTCGTAAGTTCTTTTGTAAAACGGGCCCCAGGCCTCTAAGTTGGTCTGGCCTCTATTTTAGCCTCTAATTTGGCTCCAACCAAATTTCGGTCTGGCCTAAAAAAAATTTGGCCTCTGTTTTGGCCTCATCCAAAAATGATTTCTTTTTTCAGAATTTGATTGATTTGATTGATTTTGTATTGGTTTCAGTTTTTCCAAGTTAAAGCAGATAAATAATATATTTCTGTTGATTTGTAAATGTACACATTAAAATAATCAAGTACTACCACCAATCTGATTTATTTTATTGATTATCTCTTATCAGTTTCAATTTTGAAGACTTTAAACAGTGCATATATTTTTATTTCAATGCGAAAATACCACAATGATTCAGTAATTGTGACTTTAATTTTATTTAATTTCGAAAGCATTATTGATGATATCTACACAGTAAAACATTTAGAAGCAATGAAATGTATTTCATCAAGAAAAAAAAATGAGTGCAGATAGGTAATAATAACCTAAGAACTAAAAAGAATTTATATTTGTTACTTTAAGTATTACTGGTTTGTACTTTAAATCTCTTCTTATAAAGAATAAAAAATAACTTTTTCTATGATGTGGACCTTTTTACTTTAAATGATAGAAATACTGTCAACACTAAAAGGCTTTAGGGTCCTAATAGTCTGGATGATAGGATGCAATTGTTTCACAACATCAATATTATAAAACTGTCATCAAAATGACCTTTTATTGATAATTGTGGGGATAGAAAGTTGTAGCACGAAATTATTTACAAAACATGTGTGGCTTAACTGACAATGCATATATATGTTGGATCATTGATTAACCTTGACTGCTTATCAAGAACCATACTGCAATTATTATTATTATTATTTTGTGATCCGATATCCAATTACAGTATTACTGCACAGAAACAGAAAGTTATCAATTATCTGATTATGTTATTTATTTTAAGGTTTCAATCTCATTTTGAGACTAATCTATATAATGTAAAAAAGTTGATTGATTGAATGATAATGTAAAACAGAGTAATCAAATGAGTAAAATTAATATTAACATTTTTGATATCTGCATTAGTTTATGGTAGTGTATTACTGGTTAACACATGACCTTCCGATCACGGAGCTAGCACCCTACCGACTAAGCTACCGTGACGGTCATCAATCCTTGGAATATTCACTTCTACTTATGCCTTATTTCTATTAAATTAAAAATACCATTGCGCCAAACTTTTTTGTAGATGTTCTTCATTATCTTTTGTAGTATGAATACTGGCTATATCATGCCGTGGGTTCAAAGTATGTATTAACAATAAATTTTAAATTTCGCTGTATAATAGATTTAGCCCTTAAGCATTTTAATTAATTCATTTGAAACGCCGAAACCTAGCCTTATCTCACTTGCGATGGCCAAGGAGTAGGATGGGGCCAAAATAAGGGATCAACATGGTGCATGGAAAGATAATATAGAAAAAAAAAAACTAAAATCTGAAGAAGAACAAGGCACTAATTTGCCATATAAGATATGTATATGCAAGCTTCTTCAAGTATTGTAGTTTGGAGTGTGTTCAATTCTTGACCACTGGGGGTATTGTGGAGCCACAATAGGGTATCACAGCTTTACACTAAAATGAAAAGGAATTAAATATAAACAAGAGAAGTAGATCCCAATTAATTGCATTTAAATGTAAAACATTATTAAGTTGAGCTGATATTTTTTTTTTTTAAATTATGGCCTCTTGAGTTAGATTGGGATTTAAGTCTGGGAAACCTTTAAATCAAATTTATAATTTTGATCCTCTACACTGAACTTTATTTCAAAGACATTTGATAATATCCTATACAGGTTTGTTTTTATTTAGAATGGCGCAGATCCATCAATTTGCCCAACGTCTGAGGTTAGGTCATTTGTTTAGAACTGCATCCTCTTGTTCCCCTTTCTTTTCGCCCCTCTATCAATTTAGGAAACTCTCTGCATTACTTATACTTAAGCATTCGTCTGCCGCATCCTTTTTTAAATTAAAAGTGTATGACACATTTCCTGAATACTCATACAATTAAGTGCATATAAATGTGTATAAAAAATAAAACAATGGATTTTTTTTTTTACACATTTATTTTTTATCTTACTCTTTGTGAAGAGCCGGCATGTGTTCCTTGCTTGGGAGAGTCAATGATTTTTACGTGAAACCATAAATTCATATAATATTTTTTGACAAATGTGTTTTTATATTTATATCAGGATCTTACCAGGATATACGAGGGTTGTTCGATAAATTCGTAGACAAAAACGATGTATTTAGATTGCGCAATAGCACCCTTTCAGTCTTCCATTAATGAATTCTTTAGGACAATTGTTATCGATATGTACAATATAGATAAAATGTTTGAAATAAAAACTATATAAAATATCATTTAAATCTATATTATGACTCTTTGCTGCGCAGTAAGTAAAATAGAAATCCTGAAAAGTTAATTAGTCAAATGGATAGGCAATATATCTTTATTGTGGTGCTTAATATATCGCCGTATATGTATTATGTTCAGTGCCGAAATGATGTCATAATTGCAAATTTTAAAGTCCTTCAGACAATTAGTTATGAAGAGACAGGCAATTCTGAAAGTCATATCAAAATGACTAAACGGAATATTGACATTTCAACACAAAATCAGGAGCAATCAGCTGCCTTCAAATTCTGATTCAAGCTAGGAAATACACCACGGGAGACCATTCAGATGATGGGTAAGTAGTAAGTAATTAAGTAAGTAAATTTTATCTACTTTGAAAAATGTAAGAAATATTTGACGTCAATTTTTACGTTATTGAGTGATTTTAATGGACCGCTTATCGACGCTATGGTTCATGACTTTTCGCTCACTTCTATATTTGCTGATGTATTTCTTTGATTTTTGCATATTTTATGCATTTCATCTATCATCATAAGTTGACATAAAAAATAAATATCTGTCTATAAAAATTGTGAAATAGTGAAACTCGTCTAGAATTTATCGAACAACCCTCGTACATTGAACTACTAAATTTAATATGTATCTCAAATGGGAAAAAAAAAACTTGTTCAATTTATTAAAATAGGTGGTAGGAATAACGCAATATATGTAATTCATTTCTTTTGAATAGCAATTTCTGCAAATCAATTTCATACGAATTAAAATAAGAAAAAAAGAAAAACCTGATTGTACGTCAATCTCTTATTTAGTGATTTATTAATAGAATAAGTATTTGGCGTTTAATTTACAATCAAAAAAACATTTCCTAAAGTTATATTGAATATGCTTACATGTGTTATTTTTCGGAAAACTGCGCATGGATGACAGCTCGAGCCGTTCCAATTTAAGAAAGTTTTACTGTACAAGGAATAAGCATTCTTTGTATATTCATTTACAGGGGAATAAATGAAGATAAACACCTACGAAATCTGATGTATGGGTCTATATAAAATCTATATATAAAAAAAGTAATTAGTAGAATGTAGAAGCTATTTTAACGAATTCAACTATTCACATATTGTCATAGTACTGTGAACATGGAAATTTACTCGTAGGAAATAATTTAACGCAATTAGAAAGATTTTGTTATGAGCATTTTTTTTTCATTCTCTTTCTAGATGCAGTACCGTTCATGGTAGCTCAGTCGGTAGAGCGCTCGCTCCGTGATCGGGAGGTTGTGAGTTCGAATACCGGCCGCGACTGACCTAAGTCGATAAAAATGGGTAGCAACTGTTCCTTCACCATGCGCTTGGCAATTTGAAGTGAAAGTTGCGGGTCCTTCGGATGAGACCTTAAAAACCGAGGCCCCGTTTCACGGCAGACGTTGGCATGATAAAGGTCCCTCACTGCTCAATGGCCCTGAGTGCCGAGTGAAGGTCAAAATTTGAAGCCCTTCACCGGTATATGGCGACGTCTCTCTATGAGTGAAAAAAATCTCGAATGGGATGTAAAACAACATACAATAAATCAATCAATCTAGATGCAGACCATGTAACTGAGTACATGGATGTTTTTCTTTCAATAAGAATATTTAATTATTGTCACTTTGTCATCTTTTTGGCTTCCAATGAACAAAATGTTGTCTTTTGAAATGCTGAGACCATAAGGAAGAGAAAGTCCATTCCCTGAGATATATGACAGAAACTGTCCATCACAATCAATCACATGGACACAGTCGTTATAGCAATCAGCTACTAAGATCCTGGACATCGGGTCTGTGGCGATTCCGAATGGAGTAAATGACGAATATTTTTTCGACTTTAGGTTACCAATATAAGTAAACTGAAGCTCTCCTTTCTTATTTAGAATAATTACTGTCGATGATCCGATGTCTGAAACACAGATATCAGAATTTTTGTTTTCAGCCACGTACATCATATCAAATCCGGAACTAAACATTGGTTTGTTTTCTTTGTCATTCTGTATTTCTTGTGACACATTGGAACCAGAATAACGAACAACTTTGCCCTGATAATCATTTTCACTTCTCATGCAGACCAACAGGTCTCCGTCGGAAGTGGTACATAAACCATAAGATTTCCACTTCGTGAGAGAAATCAGCTTCATCGATTTCCCGTTTCTGACCATCCTAATCACCTTATCTGTATTGTTATTATACACCAAATCTCCTTGCTCCGTAAGACATATTCCATAAACATATCCTGAAGGAATGTCAACATTCTCCAAAATTGTATTGTTCCGATTTATTCGCCTAATAGATCTACACCTTGCCACCCAAATCTCTTCATTATTTACACTGGTCACGAGTTCTGAATTCATCAAACCACTGTTAAGAACTCCCAGAAGTCTTGGAGTTTGTACGAGAAAACCTGATTTCTGGATCCCCAATGGGACTTCCTTTACACTTTGTGACTTCCCATAAAAATATCCAAACTCCACTGCGATGTGTTCTTCATTGATAGGCTTTGGAGTAAATGTAGGAAAAATAACATCTGTCAACTTTAACTGAGTAAATTCTTCTAGATTTGAATCGAAGCGAATAAATTCTCCTGCCGAATTCCCATGCAAAATATTCCTACATCTGGATGCTTCAGCGTGAGAGTCTTTCAAAAGCTTATTGATTTCTGTCAAATTATTGTCAATCTCCGTTATATGGCTCTGCATCATGCTTTGAAGGTCTCTCAACTTCTTCTGTGCGATTTCCTGTATTATCTTGTGCCATTTCTTTTCCTGTTCCTGAATTGCGATTTTTGAAGGTTCATATTGTTTTTGAATTTGCTTTTTCTGTTCAAGCATATTTTCAGATAGGCTTTTGAGTTTTTTAATAATACTTTCTTCTAGTGTTTTAATGTCGTGCTGAATGTCTTGACGCTTTAAGCTGCTTTCTTGTATTAGATCTGACACCTGATGATTAACATGTCCTTCATTTTGGCAAATTCCACAAATGAGGTCTTTACATTTTCTACAGTACAAGGAACATTTTGAGGACATATGAAATCTACAGTCTGGTATTACGGGGGTGGAATATCTTTCGCCATATGGTACAATAATGTGACCTTTGGAAGTCTTTGAAGTCACGTGTTTCCCGCCACATCCTCCACAAAGTTTGACGTCACAACTTTTACAGTATACGTCCACCTCCAGAGGGCAGTTGTCACATCTGATCGCATCTAAGCCGCCCAGAGAGGCCATGTTAGTGACTCTGACAGAAAAATTACAAAGATTTCCATTACTAACAGTATAGGAATATTCTAGCATTTTAAATATTCAAAAACAAATATGTTTTCTTTTCATGTTTGGTACTATATATCATGTTGGGTATATGTACTTACTTGCTTTCTCATCAGGTGTATTATTGTTGCATTGTTGTATTTTATCCTTTAAAATATTTTAACGTCATATAGGCTTACATTTTGCATGTTTTAGCTGAATGAAAAGAGGGTGATTACGGACCATGATCGATCTCAAAAAAAAAAAAAAAAAAAAAAAAACCCGCAAGTGATACAATTCTTTGAACAGGGTATAAACACGAAGCCCCGGTGGGATCAGGTGCCTAGGAGGAGTAAGCATCCCTTGTTGACCGGTCACAACCACCGTGAGCCCTATTTATTGATCAAGTAGACAGAACATCCCGCAGCCAAATTTAGTACAAAAACAAAGGCCTAACAATTGGTATAACACAAGTCAGCCAAAATCTGACTCAATGATAGGTTATATTTCCTAATAAGATCATTATGACGACCGTAGAACTTATGGTTTAAAAATCACCTTTTTAGGAGAACTATGATAAATCTCGACAAGTACATTCAAAAGACCATTTAAACAATACAACTTGTATGTAGAGCCAATACGGATCTCAGAAAACAGATGTGAGATCATGTTTTATGAGCGGAACCAATATATAGCTCTGATAACAGAGTAAGGAGTCTGTGCAGACGTTGTGTAGGAGTAGACATCCCTTAATGATAAACCAATGTTTAATGAATACTTAGTTTTGAAAGACTTTGAAAATCAATATTTCACATTTCTTGACCTTGAACATGCTTACTGTTCGTGACCTTTACATTTCATCCCTAGGAATTTATCTATATAATTTATACATATATACATATTATATGAAGAGAAAAAAATTATAGACATTACCAATAAAAAAAAAGAAATTCTTCATCAATATCATGCTAAATTTTTAGTAAATCTCCTTGAAAATGTTCCTCCTCTCTCGACATACTACATGTACATGCATATATAAATAAAACGATGTGTAATTTTGAAAAAATAAAAAGATAAATAAAATGAAATAAAGACTTTCAATTTTTGAGACACCACCTATTCTTCATTCATTAAACAAAATTATAATTGTGATAAATTTGCATTGTACTTCTATTTCGTGGGCTAAACATGTTTACCATTAGAAATTTGAGCACAGACAAAGGCACTTCTAGCAAAACTGTTCCAGAGAGATATAAAAATATCAACATCCGTTTTACTTTCTAGCGTTTCAAACCCTTAAATAAACAACGTTGTTTGAATTTTTTAGCGCCATAAAGGCATTTGGTGAGCAGCGTATTCATTTACTCACTCATACATTAATGGAACCTAATCCCGCCTCTAATATTTTTAGAGTTGACTCTGTTTGCTCTGCTCACAATAAGTATTGTCTCAATAGACTTTTGGGCTTGATTACCGTTCCATATCTTCATATTTCATATATCTATTATAATATTAGGAACAAGGGCAGCGCAAAGCAGAACTTCCTCTAGCAATAGCACATCGACCCTGGTATAAATTATAACCACTCACAAACCCGTTACCATTCCCCCCTCCAAGTTTGTCGTGGGAATACTTATATATTTTACTTAACCATCTTACATACACACGAAACTCATACCGTTGAATGTCCTTACCCTAAAATAGTCTCGATTCCAATGTATTTAGATTACTCCTCTCAACCCAAGTTATAGTAATCTGACAATGTTTCTATATAAAAAAAAAATAAATCTACAAAACATGAAAACATGGTTGTTATATATTATAAAACTGTTCCCTACCTTCGTTAGTTGCATCAGGCTTTCTATAATAACAAAACTAAAATGCTGACATAATTTAAGTTCTTGTTTATCCATGACCCAGACTGCTTGATAATGTCGCATGCGCATAAACATTGTCAATTTTTAAAACTGTAAACAGTGAGGCGCTCAGACAGGGTAAATACAATCTCGAATTTATCATTGATATCAAGAAGTTTAAAGCCTTACAAGGAATTGAATTAAGATTTTAAACTTATCAAATTTAAAATCTTTAAGTTGTGTTTATACATGTTTCAATTTTCATCCTATGACCAATGCAAATTTTAAGATTATAGACATCATTAAGCAATGTAAACCAAAGATGTTTTCGTTTATGCATTTTTGTTTCTTTGTTTGCTTGGTTGTTAGTTTTATTTCTAAATTTGTCTTTGGCCTATTTTTTTTACTTCAGAATTTGTTTTTTGTATGTGTGTTTCGTTTCATTTTTTTATTCACTTACTTCACTTACTTGTTTCCTTTCCTATTTGTTTTTCATTAATTCAGTTGAAAATATCGCAATTTATAGGGCCTTAAAAATATATAATAGTTATTTTCTCTGTTATGCAGTAAATTTAGTGAATATTATGTTCTAGACAAGTTTTTAAAATTAGTTTTACATTTCTTTTGACATTGCTGTTTTATAACTGAAATATACTTGAAGGAAAATGTTGGTTTTAATAGCAGACCTAATTTTGTATCCATATTATGCAGAATTTATTCAAAATCTTTTACATGAGAAAAAGAAATCTCTTGCTGTTACCTCTAACTCGACATTTAGATATATCGACGACGTATTATCAATTAACAATAGTTATTTCCATTTACATGTCGACACGATATATCCCAGTAAGCTTGAAATAAAAGATATCACAGAATCTGACACATCTGTTTCATATTTGGATATTTTACTTGAAAAGGACGTTAATGGTAATCTAACAAAAAAGCTTCATGATAAACATGATGACTTAACTTTTCAATCGTCAACTTCCCTTACTTATACAGCAATATTTCCTTATCACCTGCAAATGGGGTGTATATCTCTCAGTTGATTCGATACGCAAGAGAATGCTATATGTATGATTAATTTCTAAAAACGAGGTAAGTTATTGACAAACAAGTTTTAAGTCATCATTTCGTAAGTTCAATGGTCGATACAGTGACCATGTCAGCAAATACATTCTATCATAAGTCATATGCTGACTGACGTTTTTCATACTAATTGTGGTCGGCAGGGGATGCTCACTCCCACATGGCACGTGATCCCACCTCTGATGTTTGGAGGTCCGTGTTTGCTCTGCTCCCGATTTGTGTTGTTTTAATGGAATTTGAGCTTGAATACTTTTCGTGATCTCCATATTCATTAAATAGCTGATTTTGAAAACATTAGCCAGTAAACGTTTATTTCATTAGGCGACCAAATAACATTGTAAATACAATGCAAAAAGTTAGATGCTAAGACCTCAAAGGGAGGTTAGAACAGAGTGATGACAAAATGTTTAATATTTAGGTGAACGAATAGGGATAAGAGTTGCTTGATTTTAATGAAATAACCATCCTGTGAAGTGATTTTTTGGCTTTTGCTTTTGCTGAGTTAAATTACCGTACGCTGATATCCGAAGTAACAGTTACTTTAAATTAATTAATATCATTCCCGTCCCCAGAAATTTTATTCTGACACATCTGTTTCATATTTGGATATTTTACTAGAAAAAGACATTAATGGTAACCTTACAACAAAACTTTGTGATAAATGTGATGACTTCAACTTTTCTATCGTCAACTTCCCTTACTTATGTACATGTAGCAATACACCCTTATCACCTTCATAAGAGGGTTGTCCATGAAGTTCGTGGAAGATGAAGTTTATGTCAAAATGAATTGTACTAAATATACTTATTGTATACCAAAATATTTGTGATGAAAATTCAAGTAAGAGTGGTTTTATTTTGATTGTTTGAAATTAATATTTTTGTAAAAATCGTTTTCCTTAAAGGTGCAGATAGTGCACATGACCCAGGGTTAAAATGCCATAAATTTTGAAATAAAGTCTTTTGATTGAAATGATTATTTTCTTTATCAAGCAAGTCAAAGTTTAATAAAAATTGATAAATGTGTCGCAAATAAAGCGGCTATTGTTATTTTCCTATATAATTAAATACTGAAATACTGTTCGTTATCTCCACATATTTCATCATAGGTATTGCTTACTATACAGATATTATATAGAAAGTGAAAATACCGCGAAAAACCCGCAAGAGATGTTTCAAAAATTGACCAAAAATCGAATCGGCCATCCAAACGGAACAGCGGTCAATTATAAAATTATCTTGTAATATGATTGAAACGACGTCAGAGACAAAATATTTAATCAATCAATTTGAAACTATTGTTATATTCAGATCATTGATTTGAAATCGGTATATACGAATTTTTAAAGGTGTGTACAATTTTGGAGACACTACCAGAAGTGGATAACCACTGTGTTTGATGAAAGCAGGATATCCCTTGTACTGCCTTCCATGTCATTTTAATTGAAACATATAAACACGGATTACAGTCAGTTAACCAGGTTTTATTGTCACAAACAGTTCACATAGGGGCGCGGATCCTAATATGCGCAGGTGTCACTGTTTACAATAGGTGACGATATACAGTAGCTGTGTGAGTTGTGTGTGGGTGTGTGGATGGTAAAAAGCTATAATAAACAAATACAAATATACAAATACAAGTTACAAACAAAATCACTACAAAGACACAAAGTTTGAATGAACTCGATCAAGTTACATTCCTGACAAATTAGATACACAGATTTACTCGCTAAAAGTACACATGAACTTTTACAGAGGTCTTTAATGTCGCTTTACATTAGCCTTAAAGTTGCAGCTTTAAAAACAATAAACTGAAAACTTGTAAAACTTACATTGTGATCGGCCACAGTTTCTCCGAGATTAATAACGTCTGGACATGTATATTTCTGAGTCTTTTACAAGAATGAATTTTGTGAGTGAAAATACAGACTAAACAGTAAATCTACACAGGAAACAGCATAGTTTCATAATTAAAATAAATATCAAACTGCAGGCCCTCCCAAGTTAATTAAACAAAACGCAGCAAATTTTGATTTTAACATAAACAGCAGACAGGACTTTATGGTCAGTCAGCAAAATTCAAGCGTGAGAATATGATAATAAAAACAATTTGAACAATGAACAATGTATTTAGTCATACAGATATTGACACATTTGTGACTGTACCTAAAAATGCATAATCTGCAAATTTCTAAATAACAATGTACAGAATGTAAGACATTACATCACTATTCATAACGTTGTTATAAATCTAGCACAACGTCGGACTGGGCTGTGCAGCCTGTGTATACTGGTGACGCTCGAAAATTATCGTGCATCGATTTGAATTTTAATAATTAAATCAATTATGGTTTATACATAAATATCATTGCAAACACTTGGCAGTGTGGTATAATAAAGAAAGTGTAGCGTGTGTCCATGAACATGTAATAAAAATTCAAAATCCATATTTTTGACGTATCATGAAATTAGCCTTCATCGGACTGGGACGTGCGGCTTGCATATACCGAGTTTTTAACCTAAAACATTCGTAAAATAGTGTGTATTGTTCTGAATTTTATAATTATTTACTAAATCATGGTCCATATTAAAATATAATCGTACAGGTTTGTCAGTGTGGCCATTATTAAGAAAATTATAGCATTTGTCCACGAACTTTATGGACACTCCTCGTATGTCTCCCGGTTGATTCAAACGCAAGAGAATGCTCTATGTATGAACAACTTCTAAAACGAGGCAAGCTATTGACAAACAATTTGATGAAACAAGAATATCAACAGTCTCCTTTTAAGGCATCATTTCGTAGGTTCTATGGTCGATACAATGACCATGTCAGCAAATACAATCTATCACTAAGTCGAATGCTGACTGTTTTTCATATTAATTGTTAGTTCATTATTTACACAATGAATAGTCTACGGATTTTTCCGGTTTTCACGATCATGACAAGGAGCACACGGCGAGTTTGACAGGTCGACAGGGAATGCTTACAGCTCCATGGCACCTGATTCCACCTCTGATGTTTTTAGAGGCGCTGTTCCTGATTTGTAAAGTGAAACAGTGTGATAGTGCTTCGGTTAAGTGAAACAGTGTGATAGTGCTTCCGTTAATAGAAACAGTGTAATAGTGCTTCAGTTCATAGAAACAGTGTGATAGTGCTTCGGTTAAGAGAAACAGTGTGAGAGTGCTTCAATTAATAGAATACTCTTCGATATTTTCATATTTTATGGAAAAGGATGCGCTGCTCTTCATATGTCATCAGCAAATGTCAAAATAATAAAAATGAAGAAGGTGACAAAATTTGGATAAGAAAACACAAGATTGGGATGGTATGAGCATGCTGGACATTTGCAAAATTTTCTAGAATTAAGTTATAGATATAATGTATATGCAGTGAAATAAAAACAATCTGTATCTAAATTTCTGTCATATTAGTATCATTACGCTTTACAACATAAAAAAAAATCAAAAAGTGAAGAAATCAAAATGTTAAGTGTCTCTATACCACGTTCCACACATATTCTCATTTTTTTTCGATCTCAAAAAAAATCTACTAACTATACAAATCTCTGAACAGGACATAGGATACGGACCCTTGGATATTCCGGAGATGGGATAACGTGTCTAGGAAGAGTAAGCTTCCCCTGTTGACCGATCACACCCGCCGTGAGTCTTATATTAGGATTAGATGGACGGAATAATTATTAGTCAATCTTGGTATAAAAACAAAGGCCTAACAATTGTTTTGAGATATGTCAGTTAAAATACGACCCAATTTTAGGTTGGAGTTGCTACTAAGGTCATATAACGACTATAGCATTAACAAAATACTGACTTTCAAGGAGGTTGCTAAATCTCTGAAACATTAAGATCGGTCAGTAGCATGTCTGGGTATAAAAATGATTCGTACTCAGAGTATGCCCTTGGGTATTGAATAAGTTGGTTGAGATATACT